AATGAACAGTACTAATATTTGCAAACTTTGCAACAAATTATTTGGCGAACGCTATAACTTGAGAGCGCATATAAAAAAATTTCATCCAGGTAAGAAACACCATTTCTTATCTATTCGAAACATAAGAAAACATGTAATTAACGTTGTAGATAAATTGGAAGAGTTAGCGCCCCTTAAGACTTTTAAAATTGGCGCGGTATGCAATGAGTGTGATAAAACATTCGTAAAATATTCCAGTTTGACTCAACATGTAAAAAAATATCATAACGGTAAGTCAGTAACAAAAATTAATGCAGTCAAAGTTCAAGAGTATTTTTTTATATCTTATTTTAGATAAATTATCTCAACTCACCAAGTCAAAGAAATACCTATTTGAATGTGAAAAGTGTCAAAAGCATTTTACACACTTTCGGCATTTTAAATATCATAAAAAAATACATGAGGAAAAAAAAACTAAGGGCCTAAGATGCATTTTGTGTAAACAAGAATCTGATGCAGAGTGTTTTACCAAACCTGATTTGTTTAAACATTTTAAAATAAGGCACGATGTTGATATAATAACTGAACAGCTATACTTTACCAGTTTGGAAGAATTTAAGACGTGGAAAAAGGAAAAAGAAAAGCAATCGAATGAATTATTTGTAAAACCATATGGAACAGACAAAAATAAAAAATTCACTACAACAAAATATAAATGCCACCGGTCTGGATTTTACAAAAGCAAGGGAAAACATTTACGACATTTAAAAACACAAGGCTCAAAAAAAATTAATGGATACTGCCCTGCAGAAATGTCTGTTACAGAAATTGATGCAAGATTTGAAGTTGAATATGTTAGTACGCATGTAGGGCACACCAGTGATTTAGGTCATCTAACTTTAAATGAAACAGAGCGGAATAAATTGGCTGTCCAAATTGCAGCTAAAATTCCATTCGAAACAATTTTAGATGAGGTTAGAGAATCCATTAATGGTACTTTGGAAAGATGTCATCTTTTAACAAAGAAAGATTTATATAATATAGAAAGAAGTTTAAACCTCAATAAAGAAGCTCGTAGACACTGCAATGACGCAATCAGTGTAGATGCCTGGGTACAAGAAATTAGAAGTACTGGATGTGTTTTATTCTACAAAGCTCAGGGAGAATGTTGCACTGACTATCCTCTACTAAACAATAACGATTTTGCATTGGTAATTATGAATCAAGGTCAGCATGAAATGTTGGATAGATATGGCGATGATTGTATCTGTATTGATGAAACGTTTGGGTTTTAACCTTATCACAATAATGGTATTGGATGACATGCGTGAGGGATTTCCATGTGCTTTTCTAATTTCAAATCGAGCTGATGAACATATGATGCGAATATTTTTTATGTCTGTTAAAGAAAGCTTGGGTAGATCCTTAAAATCAAGTGTTCTTATGACAGATATGGCTCCAGTTTTTTATAATGCCTGGATTGAAGTTATGGATTTGCCTGTTCACAGACTCTATTGCACATGGCATGTGGATAGAGCTTGGCGTAACAATTTATGCAAAATATGTTCAAAAGAAAAGCAGGTATGTTAACCGTAGGAAAGGGTATACAAAATCTAACTTTTTTTTTAAATTATCATGAGTATTAAGCATCTTGTTCTTTTTTTCATGCACGTTGGCTCGTTTTAGTACTACTTGTCACTATTTTCTTTTATTTTAGGTGGCCGTGTATAAAAAACTGCGCACCTTACTTCAGGAAACAGATAAAAATGCGTTTTCGGCGATGATTAGTAACTTTTTAAATAATTTATTAGAAGATCCGGACACTACAAATTTTGGTCAATATTTCCATAAGTACTATGCAAAAAATGTTGATTCGTGGGCTTATTGTTACCGTATACATTCTGGTATTAACACCAATATGCATATAGAGAACATGCACCGTAGCATTAAATATATTTATTTAAATGGGAAAGTTAATAAACGACTAGATCAAGCTATATATATTTTGATGAAATTCGTTAGGGACAAATTATTTAATCGTTTAATAATTTTAAACAAGGGAAAAATTTCCACAAAATTGAAAGACATAAGAGCAAGACATAAAACTAGTAATGCATTAAATGTTGATGTAGTAGTAGTCAATGAAACTGGTTGGATGGTACCATCATCATCCACACAAGATCTGTACCAAGTTGAGAAAAGGCAAAAACATTGCAATTGCAAGTTAATCTGTTCCTACTTCATAAGTATTCGTGCTCATGCTTAGACTCTTCAATTAAATGGAACATGTGTAAACACATACACCTTATATGCAAATTTTTGAAAACTCAAAATGTTCATGCCAATGAAAACCAGGATGAAATTATCCAATCTGTAGGTAAGTCTACCTAATGGTCAAAATTTTAAATTTGTTGGTGGCTAGTAAGAATTGATGCTGCATTGTCATTTGTCATTCGTTAAACGAAAGCGCATTTTTGGATTTTACTGCTTAACGAAGTTACCTTTTTTTCTAGATGACATGCCTCATTTAACAATTGACGAAAACTTTAACCCCCAAGAAGAAAATACAATCATCCAGGCACTCTCCAAATCAAAGAGAAATGGAAATGAGAAGTTTATAAGTGAGAGAGAGAAATTTAAGTTTGAATTGTTAGAAACTGTCAACGGCCTGGAGTGTTCTGAAGAGTTAGACATAGCAAGAAAAGCATTAGCTCCTCTTATCCCTACTTTAACAGCATTCAGGAATTTAAAAAACAAAGAAGTTTGCAAAGAAAATCAAAATATACCCCATAATAAAAAAATTCCCCAACAACGGCGGCTGTTTAAGACAAAAAAGAAATGTATACCTAAAAAAGACAAGACAGCCAAACCAGATAGTGAAGAAGTTAATAAAATTGCATTAAACATGTTACAATTTTGAATTAAATATCTTTATTATGTATTTAGAAATATTGAAACAATTATGTACTACCTATGTATGAACTACTTTATATTATTTGAATATTAATGCAATAAATAGTTTTTGTCGCGTGCTGGTTGTCGTATGTATCTACTATTTACTAAAAGGTTTCTATTTAGAATTCATTCTTGTATGCAACAAAAAAGTCTTTAGAAACCTTTTTTCTTGCAGGTACCGTTGTAAATTGAAAAAATGGAAAAAATAGGTACAGTTTTTTTAGTGTAAGCTGATCCTGTACAGCCATAAGTGTAATTACCGAGCATTTAACAATATCGCCAAGTCGAGGCATTTTGTATTCTTCCAAATCGAGAATTCAATGTTGAACAAATCAAAATGACAAAATGTCATAATGTAACGTGAATCTAAACATTATTGAAAATAGTTTACTTGATATTACGGCTTATCCTATTTTTTTGTCCACGACAGTGCCTATCGGATCAATTTAATTACCTATCCATTTTGAAAACTGTGTAATCTTTTAGCTATGGCAATGCAAGTTCGTAGTTCAAATATCTGCGCGAAAAGTTAGCGCCTGCGCACAATGTGAAAGCCAAAGTGGAATCCTTGGCGCTAGCCGCCAGTGTCGACTGCTCTAGCGCAGTCAACGGTCGCGACCGCTCGCGCGCGGTTGACGGCACGATGGAATTTCGTCATGCAGTTGACGGCAGCGAATGAATGACTATAGTTCACCGCGCGGTCGCGGCTTTAAGCAGTCGGTCTCAACTGCTTGAAGCAGTCCGTGTACGGCCGCCCTTACTTAACAGTGCGCAGGGGTTTTGTTAATTCGATTCGAATTTAAAATTCTCGCACATCGCCCGTGATGGTATTACAAGCATGTTACGCCGCTTATTATTCAGAAAGTTTACGTTCCGTTTGAATAAGGGTTATTTATGGCTTTATAGGTTATACGGTTATTATTTCCAATATCTCCGATGGTTGCAAGGATTGCGAAATCTGATGTGAATTTTTTACATGAAGCGCGCTTTCTAAAGTACATAGCTGCTGCAAAAACTGTTTTTCCAAAACCATCTGGACGGTGTTGCCAGATAATGTAAAATAAGAAATACTTACGTGGAGATTCCGCTCATGTCCAAAAATTAGAATTCTTCCGGGAACTGGTGCATTGTCAGCTAGTAAAAAATCTTCCCGAATCCCGGGCTGTGTAAACTTTATATTCGTCCGGTATTATTAAATCCTCTACTATTTCGGGTGCAGGAGGGATGATCCATGGCTTGCGTGGGCAACTTCCGATAATTCTCCAATGCAAGCAAAATTGATAACTTGTGCCGTTGTTTCCATGACTTCTCCGGCCCTCTCTTTTATTCTAAAAACTGCTGCCTGGACTTCAACTTTTGCCGCCGAACTGTCATGAGAATGGTCATTGACTTTTTTAACGACACTACCGTCTCCTTCAACTTCAAGAGTCACTAAAAGTACATTGATATATGTGTATATACTATAACCTCGTTTTCTAATTACAACATGACGCCTCTCATACAGATAACATTGATCGATTAATATTGGGCCATTTAGATAAAATTAAGTAAGATTCTACTGACCATTTTGCTGCCATGATGGCATGTGATTAAAAAAACTTATTGACAAGAAAAGGTTGCAGTTAGAAATAGAAATTATGCGCAAAATCCAAAGGGAACTATATAATAACGATTATGATGTGTTTTGGCCAAGTTTTATTTTGTGTAATATTGTTTACTTTAAATTTAGATACTAGGAATTTATATGTTTGCATTGGTTTAAACAGTAAATTACAATATTTTTAACATAATCTTTCACTTATAAATGTGCCATTGCCATTCAACACCACCATCCTTAACCAATTAATTGGTAGCTATCCATCTTATAACGACTCAAAACGGGGTGAAATTGACTAAGTGGAAATTATAAAAGCACTAAACCTTCCCCATACTTCATTTAATTGTTTCAGATTTTAAATTCAGACATTATCGTGACAGCACCAGCGACTATAGTTTCGGACCCTGAGGTCATTATCAAGCCTGAAAATTTATATAATTTAAATAATTTGAAACAATGACTGAATGGTGGGTTTATACAATCATTATCATTAGTTCACTAACATTAGCTCACTAAACTAAGAAACTTAAATATATGGTAATGAATGGGCGCGTTTATACAGCATTACTTCATTAACTAACATTAACATTATCACTAAGAAGATGGTTAACTTTTAACTAAACTTGTTAAATTCTTAGTGAAAGAGAACAGTGCGCATGCGTAACTGTCAACACACAATCAGCTGATTGTTATGACAATTATTTTAGTTCTGTAGTAGCACTCAGCTGTATTTTATTTCGAGTTGTTTTTATTCAATTAGTGTAAGTACCCAACGCTATTTTATATTATTTCTAGTTACAAAAAGCATTTTGTAGATGATTGACGAAGACGATATGAGATTGATTGATGTGGTGCAACAATTTCGTCAAATTTATGACAAAAGCAGCCCCAATTTCAAAAACAAAAGGGCCAAACAAAATGCTTGGACGACAGTGGCACAAATGCTCGAACGAACCCGTATGATAATGTTATTCAGTAGGAAATAAATATATATATGTTTGAATTGTAGCAGTAGATTGCGAGTCTCGGTTTACGGTTCTCCGAAACCGATTTGTTACAGAGAAACGTAAGCTGCAGGTTGCAACTGCATCTGGAGCAGGAGGAGATGTTGTGGAGCCATCTCCTTTGTACAAAAAGCTTGAATTTTTGCTACGTTTTATTAAAAGTAGACAGTAAGTTGGTGTCATAATATTATTTGATCTACTATCCTTGTCTGTAATTACAGAACTACCTCTAACGTGCAAATGAAAAATGCAGCAGGCCAAGAAAAACCTGGCCCTTCATGCTCTGCAACCGGACATAGAAATGCCCAAGAGCAAACTAAAGCTGGCCCCTCAAATCCGTGGGACACAATTAACACAATTTTGGAAGGGTCTGAAGTGGAGGTAGAGGAGTTCTACACAGAGTCGAACATTGACGACTCCCAAGAGGATCTTGATGAAGAAACACATCATGATATCCAACAATCGGAAGGTATACAAAATTACTAAGGCCCAGTTTCTCAAACTCCGGATAAGGTTATCTGACAGATAGTTGCCATGACGACAATGTTATTGGGATAGCTTACCCAGAGGATAAATTTTATCCGCCGATAACTGGCGATTGAGAAACTGGGCCTAAGTCAGTTTTGTTAATGATTTTAAATTTTAGACAAAGAAAACCAAGAACCTGTTGCACGAAAAAAAAGAAAATTAGACACATCCGGCAACAAAACATCAAAAAAAAAAAGTCCCATTAGGGGTGCCCTAGAAGCATCCTTAAATAAATTTAATACATATTTAGCGGCCAAACAAGAAAAGGCCGACGAAATGATTGATAAAGAGTTGTCCTTTGGCCGAACTGTCGGTCTTTATCTAAAAGAACTTGATGCAGAAACGCGACAAGCTAAACAGCTTGAAATCATGAATATATTATTTTCAAAATGAAACAAAATGTAAATATCGATGTATATATAAGTATTTTAGTACCATAGGTTTATTTCTATATATATTTATATGGAACAATATTAAGAAAAAATACAATGCATGCATATAAAATGTTAGTATAATTTGTTCAATTTTAACTTGGCAGAGAGCCTTCTGCAATATGGTCATATTGCCAGCTTACTTTTCCTTGTGCACTGGCAAAGTAGGCGGTTAATAATTCTCGATTTTGCCGTACAATCCGGGTTGAAAAATTAGAACCAAGCCGACCAACTGGACGTAACATGTTTGATTCATTGCGCCATTGTCCCGGACGCAGGCCCCCATTTATATCTACCTCGTCTCCAAATCCAGTAGGACAATACTTTCTGCTACCCATTGGTATGTCCTCTTCTTTAACTTGGAGGAAATTGTGAAGAACAACACATGCCTTAACAATAGCCTCACAGGTTGTCACATTAGCGACAATCGGTCGCCGAAAGATTCTCCAACGTGCTGACAGGATACCGAATGTATTTTCAATCGTTCGTCGAGCACGGGACAACCTATAATTATATGTTATATATATGTAAAATTATTATTAGAAACTTAACCTGTAGTTAAATATTTCTTTATTTTCCCCTAGTCGTTCCCCTGGATAGGGTCGCATAATACGTTTATGCAGTGGAAAAGCCTGATCTGCCACAAAAAAAAAGGTAATGAAACTGAAGTTCCAGGTAGTTGTTTAGCATCGGGTAAATCAAGAACATCGTTTTGATTTTTTAAAATGGCTTGACCAAATGCAGATTCTGAGAATACAATGCTATCATGTTGTGAGCCATAACCACCAACATCAACCAACGTAAAACGGTAAAAAGCATCACATGCTGCCATTAAAACAATACTGGAAAAGTATAATGAAATGCAGTAATAATAATACTTTAATATTCACCTGCTAGTTTTTTTATAATTAAAAAAATCACTGCCACTATGTGCAGGAGCTTGAATTTGAATGTGCTTGCCATCTAAAGCACCAAGGCAATTAGGCATGTTCCACCTTTGATAAAAACCTTTGGAAATCTTTACAAATTCAGTTCCAGTTGGCGGTTTTAAATGTATGGGTGACAACACATCCCATAAAACTGAGCATGTTTGCTTAATTATGATATGAACAGTCGTTTTCCCCATGTAAAAATTTGTTGCAATCTCTTGCATAGAGCATCCTTCGGCCAGATAACTATAAAATAATTAATTAAATGTTAAATTTTGTAACAAAATTAGTCCTTACTGTAATGTTAAGGTTAGTCGCTCAGCTGGAGAAATATGTGATTTTTTCTTGTGTCTCTGCAGATGTGGTCCAACAATGCTTAACAAATTATCAAATACTGCCGGTGTCATTCTTGTATATTTAAAGTATTGTTCATGGTCCATTTCTCGCATACGTCTTACACGTTTATGAAATTCTTACACGTTTATGAAATTGTCCATGTACTATTCTGTTGCGATTAATAGGTCGCACTTTGTACCTGCGTACTCTTTTTTTACGTTTTAAATAGAGCATCGCGGCTGTAGTCAGCAATAAAAAAGCTGCAAACACTTCGTCGTCGTCCATCATAACACAACACAATCCAAAAACTATCGAAATTCCAAATAATATTATTATAAAAAAAGTGAGGTTGAATAATCACACGTAAATATGGTAAAACACGTTTCACACTGTACCTACAAAAACCATGCGCACGGTTTGCCTTCCTATTGGGTATTTCTTAGTGACATTAATGATTGTATAAACCAATGTGGGTATTAATTATTAGTTTAATTATAGTGAACTAATTACTTAATGTTAGTGAACTAATGATAATG